GAACGTGACCTAAGTGCACCAATAGAAACTGAAATGGAAACGCCGCCACCGGAGGTTGAAATGGCAGTAGATGAAAGTACTCGATTTCAAGAATTTATATCTCGGTACAAAAAAATTAGAAATAAAGATGATCATATTGCACTTCGGAATGCACTAATTGATCATTTATGGGAAGAATTCACCAACTCCGAGACTTGAAAGACTATCTATTTTTACGTGATTGTTGTAATTTTCTATGTTATCTTGTGTGTTGTAATATTTAAATTTTCATTTTGCATGTTGTAATTTCTTATTTTCATGTGTGTTGTAATTTTTAATTTTTCATCTTGTGTGTTGTAATTTTTAATTTTTCATCTTGTGAATTGTAATTTTTAATTTTATTTGTGTGGTGAAATTTTAATTTTTAATGAATATTTATTTCTCCGATTTTATTATGTGTAATTAATTTTAATTTCATAAAGTCCAAATTGAATTTAAAATAATAGTGTGGTTTAATTTGTAAAGTTGTGAAATATGTGGGTAGTATTGAAAAGTTATAAAAGTTGGTGTAAAAGAGAATATTCTGGGAATATTCTTTTGGGTTTGAGAATGAGTTTTTCGGTTGGAGATGAATTACTGCAAAATGGGATAGTTACTGCAAAATGGGTTTGAGTTTGGGTTTTTCGGTTGGAGATGGCCTAAACCATATATAGTCTACACATAATGTGAATATATGTCTAAACCATATATGGTCTACACTGTAATTAAAATCTGGCGTTGCTACAGTGTTGCTACACTGTTCTATGATTTATGTGTGTTGTAAATTTTAATTTTAATGAAATAAATTTGTTTGAGTGTGTTAAATTTTTATTCATATGCTACTATTTTAATATTAAAAAATTGCAAAATAAAATTATAATCATCAATAAATAAAAAATATAAAATTATTTAGCATAAAAAGTACATTGCACAAAATTACTTAACATAAAAATATATTTTTAACACACATTATACAAAAATTTATCATTAATATTACATTACAAACAAAAAAAAATAAAAAAAAAAAATATGTAGCGCAACTACAGTGTTGCGCCAGATCTGGCGCAACACTGTAGCTTTCTCCAAAATAGCGTTAATTTGTGGTGCAGCATTGGAGAGAGATTTTCGCTACAATAGAGTAAAGATGGGCTTTCTAGCGCAGCATTGCGGAAGCTCTAAGGCATCAGTAGTTTACTTTACTCTAGAGTAGAGTTGATATATTATCTCCAACCATTTACTCTACATCTTACTCTATAAGAATATTCTCTTATTATTCTATTTTATTTTGAATTAATTTAATGGTAAATATTTTTTAACAAAATTATTATTATATAATTAAGAAAATTTTAATTGATAAAATAGTAATTACATAAATTTTAACAAAAAAAACATAGGACTATTTAAATAAAATTTAGGGAGTAGGAATAGAAATTACATAATATCAATAAAAAAAATACACACACAAGATAAAAAAACATGGGTACAACTACAATACATCTAATTGACTGAATTAGAATACTCTTCCCACAAATGATCAATCAATGCATTACGAAGTGCAAGGTGTGCTTATTGGTCTCTAATTCGTCTATATCGAGCAACAAACGTCTGAAATTGAGAATCTTCATTTCCCACTATTTCAATATCAGGAGTCGGTGTCTCACTTGCAGCTTGAATCGGTGCATCAAGATCTCGTTCATCCTCAATTATCATATTGTGCATAATAATGCATGCAGTCATTATATCTTGTAAGTCGTCTTTGCTCCAAAATCGGGCAGGGTTGGCAACAATAGCAAATCGACTTTGCAAGACACCGAATGCACGTTCAACATCCTTTCTACATGCTTCTTGTTTCATAGCAAAATATTTTTTTTTTACTACGTGGGTAATAGTTTGGACAAGAGTTGACAATTTTGGTTATATGCTATCAGCTAAATAATAACTCATATTATATTCTTTTCCTTGTATGACATAATGTGTTGTTGGTGCAATTCCCCTAGTAAGATCAGAGAATAAGTGGGATCGCTCTAGCACATTAATGTCATTATTGGACTCAGGCATACCAAAGTATGCATGTCATATCCAAAGATCATAATCAGCTACTATTTCTAAAATAATAGTCGGTGATTTACTTCGCCCTGCATAAGCACGCCCACGCAGTAGGACAATTTTTCCACCGCCAGTGCATACAATCTAGACTACCTAACATTCCCGGAAAGCCACGTTCCTTACCAATATGAAAAAGTCGAGCAATATCATCGGTGTTTGGTGATCTAAGGTATTGCTCTGCAAATATCTCAACAATAGCACGACAAAATTTCTTCACACACTCAATTGCGGTGGACTCACCAATGTTAATATACTCGTCAATTGCATCAGCTGGTACTGCATAAGACAATTTTCGAATTGCAGCAGTTAACTTTTGAAATGTAGACAATCCGAGTCTCCCGGCTGCATTTCTTTGCTGCAAAAAATAGTTATCATGATTTTTCACAGCATTTTCAATACGAATGAATAAATTTCGAGACATTCGAAAGCGCCTACGAATAATTGTGTCATTGAATTTTGGATTTTCAGAAAAGTAATCATTAAAAAGGCGATCAGCAGCCGCTTCTCGATCACGGAAAATTGTTTTGCGACCAGGAACTGAACCTCCATGTCTCCGACCAAAATTTTGTGTTTCAAAAAGTTCTTGGACAAGTAGATTGTTATTGTAAATTTGTTGAGATATCAATTGTTGTTCCTCATCGTAACTATTTAAAAGATGTTCTAGTT